CCCGCTTGCTAAAGAACATGAAGTAGTGGAAGAGGGGAGGGAGAGTAGGGAGTGAGCTTCAACACATGACCGATGGGTAAGGCTGGACGTGGATTGGAGCCGTGGTCAAAGAATTACTGAGGCTTACTTCTCTCAAGTTTGATGAGGAAAAGGTGTTCAATTAACCAGCTTGCTAAGCTCTTAAGCGGATCGACGTAAAACGTTATTTAGCCAAGAACAACATTTCTATTGTGAGAAAACTTACCATTCAATGGTGTTGAACGGGCTTTTCATCTATTCAGCGATCAGAATGTGATGTCTGATGATGAAATCGGGGCCTTTTTCGGGGAGCTTTTCTTGCACTGATAACTGCATCCCTCTCACGATCATTCACTCAGTTTTTAGAGCCCCGGGATAGTTTACTGTTGGCCTTTCAAAGATAATCCAATGATCTCTTTTAGGATAATATGATAAAGCCTCGGCTGGCTTTGACAAGTTTCCTTCATTATCATATTGTGCTTTATTTTGTGGGATAGAGGATCCTCATCGTATTTATAGCAACATATCATTTTTCATCATTTATTTTATTGTAAAGGGAGGGGATTTTATCCATTAATAGCATCACTACTAAATCGGTTTACCATATAGCATATATCGACATATATGCTATATGGCTGTGAAACAGGGAAGATCACAAAGACCGATGAAAGAAAACTGAACAGTTTCCAATGCCAATGCCTAAGACGGATACTGAGGATTAGGTGGCAGAAAAGAATGACAAGAGAGTAGTTTAAATGACAGAGGTCAGGGAAATTAGCTGCGAGGTGCGAATAAGAAGATGGAACTGGTTAGGACACGTACTCAGGAGAGAGGGTGTGAACGAATGTTTTACGGAATTTACGGCATTGGGGTGGACACCAGAAAGTCAAGTGACGAGAGGGAGACCAAAGACCACTTGGAGAAGGATTGTCGAAGGAGACAGTCAAGGCGGGGTGGAAGAGCTGGAATGTGGCTAAGGTGGCGGCACGCGATAGGGGTGGTTGGGCGGACAATGTGACGGCCTTATGCACCTACTGGCGCAACGAGCGATGATGATGATTACTAATTCGGTTTGATTAGTTTATTTTTTTGTTTATTTTTTTTGGCGTGACTAAGACGTGGAAAGGCGAGAAGATTAAGATCGGCTGTTTTTACAGGTTTCATTTTGTAAAAGCAAACCTTGTTTAGATAAGTAGCTCTAGGGTTATGCGTGTTCTTCTATTCGTGTTCGTTTACATCAAACCATGGACTAAAATGTCAGCTCTGAATTTATAAACTGTATTGTAGTTTAGGCGGAAAGAGTCAAGGACACGTCGTGATTTATATATTTAAATCGGGTTCAGGATGTGTTTCAAATGCTCTGCATTGTAATTAGTGAGCTGCGAATGGATTTACATCTGTTTACAATTCTTGGGAGGTTTCAATCGCTGAAAACTGCAGTTGAGCGTCAGCTCCTTGTCAAAAGTGATTCAGTGTTTTACATCATTAAATTTGGTTTTGGTGCCATAAAATCATTCCCGTAGACAAATGTTAGTAAATGAGGCTTATTGTTGTATAAAATTACAAAGGATTAAGCCACAGGCATCTCAGTTGCATAATGATTCATCGATTGGCAATCTTTGAAGAAAAAAAACACTACATTTCGTGATGGAGTGGCCTTGGATTATCGAAGAGGAACTCAGTATTCCCGTGATCAAGATATTTCCGGAGTTTTCTTCACTTTTTCGTAAAGTGACACGAGCGCTGAGCTGGCCTTCATAACTTTTCTGTTGTATTGCGTTCTCGTTTGGAACCTGTTCAACTCCATAGCGAGATTTTTTAAGTCTTATGATGGCTGTAAATTTCACGCAAATTGAAGGTTAGGCAGGAAGAACTACTGCCCAGAGAAAACGCGTAAAGGCAAAGGAGACCATCTTTCAACAAGAAAGCGCAACATCTTCCAGAGAGGAACTGCAAATCGTTTTGATATTCTACGAGGAAATGATGATGATATTCGGTCGCAGAGGAATTGCTTATGGGGCGGATCTTAGACTGATAGATAAATTTTGCTGCTGAAAAGTTAGAAAAGGCTGGCTAGATTTGAATATTGACTGTTAGTCTTGTGAAACTATCATACAAAGTTGTTAATTGGTTATTTTTTATATTGTTTTTCTCGCTAATAATTTTTTGGTGTCATTTAAAAGCTTGAGGACCTGAATAGATGTTGTAATTTTTTATCATGGCAAGAATAAGTCGAGTTTGTAGCACTGCTTTTTAGATACCGAAGATGAAAAATGCATCCTTGTGTAGACGTTTCTCTCTGATTAACATTCAGAACAATTCTTTAGTTCAAGTAAACCAATCAGAATTATTAATTTCCAGAGAAACAGTATCCTTTGAGATGATATTTGTTATATTAATTTTTTGGTCCTTTATTATCTCAGACAGAAGTATCCGGTAGTAATATAACAGATGGCGTTGATAGAAAATTAAAAGTAAAAACAACCGCAGAAGAAAACCACAGAACAACGAGTCACATGGGTGGCATCAGCTTTTGAATATGGAGGGTGCAAACGAGCTCAGAGTCCTAAGGTAATTTAGTGTTAACAACTGGGTTGAAAACGTAAATTAGCCACCGTGAAGGGTAAAAAAGCTGACGTTTCGAGCGTTAGCCCTTCGTCAGAGCGATTAGACGAAGTCTGTCTGTCCAATCGCTCTGACGAAGGGCTAACGCTCGAAACGTCAGCTTTTTTACCCTTTACGGTGGCTAATTTACGTTTTCAACCCAGTTGTTAACACTAAATTACCTGCTATACTCTCCCACCGACGCAGCACCACAGTTTCTCTAGAAACTTACCCCTTTATTCAGAGTCCTAAGGCCTTCAGTTTTGAATTAACAAAGCTCTCAGAATTTTCCGATAAAGTTAACACCTGCGTATAAGAACTTAACATTTAAGAACCCGAAAGGTTAAAATTTCCCAGTTGAGCACCCCTCTTTTATGAACCATTCCAGACTAAAATCTCAATACAGGTTCTTATATATTTTGAGGATGTAAAGTTTGTTCAAATTTGATACTGTACATCGCATACAATACAAAAAGATAACAAAGACTAGCCAGAACACCGGCAGTGTTATAAGACCACAATACTGTATTGTCAATATATCTATAGCTGTGCAACATATCCGACTGTGTGTCTAAGTACACCATGCAAAGCGGGGCACTGTGAGGCTGGCATACAGCGCAGTATCACACCCACACCTACCAATACAAGTTATTTTTTTATTAAACAAAAATTAAGAATGTGATTAAGAACCTTGGTAGCCTAATTTCACGGTAAACACCATTTATATTAGAACCTATGGAGGCTAACTTGAAAAAATCTAGGTTCTTATATGCGGGTTTTTACTGTATTGGATTATTCTTCAACGGCAAAATTAATTCATACTGAGGCATTTATCTTAGTAAGGACGAAAATAGCAAACACTGGCGATGTGAGATGAACATTGGAGGTCCTTCCCAACTTAGCAGAATGAATTAACGCTACTTGCACGAGATCTAGTCGAGGGGACAAGGTACAGAGCTATATCTATTGGTTTCATTTAAAGTTCTGTTGTTTGTCTGATTCATCCGTTCTATTTTTGTGACGCAGTCGCATGATTAGACATGAAAAGATGAACACTCTTTTTACCATCCGTTGACTGCGAGACAATGACGCTTATCTGCCAAGCACAATATTTTTTTTAACCGGTAGAGCTTCTATACTAGTGATCTTGTTCTAACCATCAGCTTAGTTGGCGGGGCAAGCGTGTTTTAAATAAACTTTTATTTACTTAGTTAATTACTATCTTGTTTAAGGATGGTTCTGCCGACACTAAAACACTCAATCATTGCAAAACTTTCTGCACGTCAAATCCGATCTGGGTTTTCACGCTGGTGTGAGTCCAACCGGTAGGGCGGGCGACTGTAAGGCAGTGCTCAAGAAGGAAGGTTTTTTCAGCCCGCCTGTGCAGCTTTATTGAACACATCTGACAATGGTAACAAAGGTGACGACACTCGGATGAAATTTTGGAGAATTTTATAGCCTACCTCTCTGGACACTAGCCAATTCAAAATCAAGAGTATAACGTCCTAAATTACCGACCAATCTAATCAGTGACCAGAAGAGTCATGTTCCAGTATTCTCTTCTCCAGTAATCCCTTCCAGGTAATCCTTTGTGAGACTGAAGGTAGTCCTCTGTATTTCGGCATAAAATTCGCCGTTTCGTGTGGTTGTGGTGACGGTGTGTACTTTGCCTTAAAATATTAAACAAAAATTAATGAGATAAGAGACGGCTTATCACTTAGATCAATCCATTTGCGAAGGGTATTATTTGTTGACGTACTATGCAAGGATTTTTATATTCTAATGTAATTAGTAATGTTAGTAAAGAGTGGTCTTATGTCCGATTGATCCAATTAGATAGTTGTCTTTTATGGCCAAAACTCAAGGTGCGAAAAATATTTCACAATTTGGATTTGTTATCTCATTATGATTCTTCCAAATAACATTGTTTGAATTGTGTTTGCGACACCCCGTCTGAATAACATGAATAACCCCTCACTTCATTTTCGAGCTGTTAAGTAGCCGCAAAAGAAATAATTCCTTTACATTTTGACGGATTTCAAAGAGGACAAAAGAGGAATTAAATCAATTTAATCCTTCTGGGATATATTTCTTTATTTGAAATGGATTTTGAAAGAAAAATAGAAAGCAAATTATCCTTTCAATTGACGAATAAGGCTTTGGAAGCAGTAACTGCAATAAGGTCAGGTTTTTAGAGTAACGCTCTCAAGGGACTAATGAGGCAATTTATTATATTAACCTAATGATCAAAGCCGTAAGTCGTAATACCGCATGGTAAACAGTAGACGCATTCAGATTATTTTTGCTAAACAATACTTTGGGAGAAGTGTTAAATTTATACTTGACAAGTGAGCCATTCGCTTGCGTTCCTCGGGGTCATGTTTGTAAGAAGCGCACGAGAGACCCCGTCGGTGGTCTCCACGAGGGTCTTGAAAACACATCGTATGAACTCAGTGGAAAACTTTCGACTACAGGAACGAGTGAAAACAATCGACTACGAGAGTCAACATAACTATTCACAAATATCGGACGAAATCGATGGTGTTCGCCAAAACCTGGTCAAAATCAAAGGTGTGAAGAAAAATGTTGGTGTAAGCGTGGAAAGGAGGAAGCTTCTGCGGGATAAAGGACTAAGGATTTTGCCTTCCAAAGATAAGAGTAATGCAGAATATTTTACGGTGCGTTCATCATGCGGAAAGGACATCAATATACCTTGTTCGGATTTTTATGACGGAGACACTCTTAGGAAACAGCTGAGTATCGATAAATTGAAATCGTTAGCGGCACCAAATCTTGACGCAGAAAATTCGGACAATGAGGAGCTAATTGATCGCTCCTCGGCTGAAACTCGAGGACGGTCTCACAGCTTATGGAAAGATTTCCGTTACAGAAACATAACGCCTCCTTTAAGGCCAGGTTCCAGGAGAAACTTTAGGGATGTGGAAGATGAAAACTCTAAAGATAAAGAGAAACTGCTTAACCTCGACGACATCGGTAATATAGAGAGGAAGTATGGAGTTTTGAGACCACAAACTGCGCACCTGAAGAGAGATAAGGAGATAGTTCTACGGCCAAGGAGTCGCACATGCCCAGGTAATATTCAAGAGAACAGAGGAAGTACTCCGCGCAGAAAAATGTCGCGTAAAAGTTCTTCGACAACCGGAAATGTTAGGAAGAAGTCTCGTGGCAGTGATTCTGTAACCAGCGAAAAGAAAACTGACGAAAAATCAGCCGACCTACAACTGGAAAGCGGACTACGAACAGAAGCGAACTTTTTATGGGAAGAAAGCAGTGATAACGTTGTGTTGGAAGAGACAATTTCTCTGGATCTGAAGCCTTCGTTAAGGCCAAAAATACGTCCCAGATCTATGACTGTTGCTTCTATGGCGGGAAAAAAAGGAATTTCTGGTACAGTTGCTGACCTGAGACGAATGAGTTTGGAAAGTAGTACAAGTAGTGTTCACCTTCCACCTGCTCCATCGAATGGAAATTGGTTTCATTCCAAGTCGCCAGAAACAAGCCCTCGAGTTCCGAAGAAAAAAGTTGTGGCTGCCAATCATGTAAAGGAAGAAAATGATGAACCGGATGGAGACCAACGAAAGTTTTCTAAGCTTTCAGAGAGGAAAGTTTCGTGGAAGGACTCTGTTCACGATGCTAGCGATGAAATGGACAGTGGAAAAACCAGAGGCGAGGTTACTGATGCTTCCCTGCCTTCTAACGCAGCATTAAGGAAGCCGAGAACAAACGGTGTACTAAGCGCCGCTACACGCGCGCAAAGCGCTCCCCAAGGGCGTCCAGGCCTGTCCCGTCATCAAAGCTCGACATTGAAAAAAGTTTCAAAGATAAACGGAAGGCGGAACAGCGCTGGAGATTTTGTCTACGACGCAAGGCCTGACAAAGCACTGAGTAAAGGCTACATGACGATGCAGATGACAATCGGTGGTAAGCAAGTCAGGGTATACGTACCCAAGTTTTCAACCAGCGATTGCATAGATGATGTCACGCCAGCGGAGAGGGCTCGGGCCAAGTCAGCTCTAAAAGCTGCTGGAGGGACTGGAAGGAAACTGACTGCTAAAAACAAATAGCTGATGTCTCAGACACTCCAGACGGTCGACCACTTAGAACCGATACTTATTGCGTTATAAAAAATAGTATCCATCCGCCATATGAAAGTGGATGTCACAACATATAAATCTAAAAAAAGACCCTCATATAAAGAGATAAAGCTTTTATGAATATGTACAATTTACATTCACGGCACAAAATATTACCTGCATAATGTACAAATTTACAAATAATAAATGAACACTATAGTTGTAAGCTCTGGTGTATGATACTCTTGTCATATCAATTTTTCCTCCTTTTTGTGGATCGCAGGTTGCTGTTTTGGTTTATTTTTTCTCGCACGTGGTTCCACCTTAGTACACGCTCACGCGTAGATTCGGAATAATCAACCTTGAATCGTGAAAGGGATGAATCAGATAATTATATGGTACTTGTCAGCTGGCATACAATAAAGAAAATCACTAAGTTTTCAAACACTTTTCAGGGCACGTTGTTGAAGTCCTAAACGTAATAACTGTCCTAAATGTAATAAAGCCCTAAATGTAATAACGTTCGGTCCTAAATGTAATAAGCCTCCTATGCAATCGTTTAACTGCGCTAACATTGAGATGTTAAAGTGACAGCTGTTGCACCAAAGAATCCTCTGACCGATATTTATAGAATATTGCGGGCTCACTGATATTAATCAGCGGCTTTTTATTTGTTAAAGACGTAGGTTGAGAAGCATTGGCTACAAAACCTTATTCTGATACTGATGTGCTTTTGGCATCAAATTGACGGACGCAAAAGCAACGAGAACGTTGACTAATAGCTCTCTCTATATCATTGGCTCAGACTCTTAAGTGTAACAGATTTTGACGAAATACTTCTGTCGTCAGTGCTGAAGTTAACACTTGATGAACCAAATTACAAGGAAAAAGAAGTCCACCGACTTATACGTTAGACAAATTCTGGGCTCAGAAGGGCATTTTTTGTACTGTCTTCCCTTGCCAGATTTGTACGGGTTTGCATAAAATATATTCATATGCGTTATTGACCGAACGTGAGGTCAAAATGGCTATATATTGGCCGAGTTCTTTTTTTTTTGCGTTTTTATGGACTGAGACGAAGTCACGGTCCATAAAAAAGTAGAAAAAGAACGAGGCTAATATCCAGTAATCTTGACCATACAAGCTTAGTTAAGAGAGTTTATATTCTCTTGGCTTAATCATTAAAGGATTCATTGTATAGCAAAAGATTTCGCTTTGATAAGAATCAAGAATGGCCTGTTTATTTCGAGAGCCGATAGTGAAAGCCAACTGTGTTTGCAGCACAATAAACCCAAGAGGGTCGTTTATTTTTTTCTATGTATATATGCAAACATTGTCCAAAAGTTACGAACTTTGTAAGTTTTCTTGCGTGGGATCAATACGGGGGATCCCGAACGGGCGAGGGGTGGGCCCATCATGCCCGCTCAGGTGGCCAATCAGAACACAGGATTCACTTCATCTTGCCCGCGTGCGCTGCTAGCTATATGATAATGTGACTTGCAGAGCAAGATATCGACTGACCAATCATATGTTATCCCATTTCACGATCACAGGTCTCGACATGTTGCCTTTTTTCCACGCAAGAGTCAAATTGAACCATTGAGCTACACCATTCAACACATGATGGTCAGTTGACGGTCTAATGAACCATTCATTTTTTTCCTTTAGCCCCTTATGACGGGTTCATCAGTTTCCGAACCGAAATATTAGGAAAACATACATTTTACAGTTGATCTCAAGTTTATATTTCATTTTTTGTCTTCATCTCTTCTCCCCGCCGTGAGGGGAGAAAATGAATAGATAAATAGATGAATGAAAAAAGAAAGCTCAGCAGTTTCCACTTATAGTCATATGGTACATGAACTGATTACTGAGGTGGAGTAAAGCCATAGAGGGCTGGAAATGCAACATCCCAGGTTCAAAATTGAATAAATCAGGATAGTCATTCTTAAAAATGAACTCAAATGCTTCATTAGAATCAATTGACGCTGAATAACATTGATGTGCAAAATTTCAATAACGCTACTGATAATAATAATTTTCTTTTGGATTAACATGTGACACAGCGAAATCATTCAAACTGCTCTAAAATGGTGCATCACTTCTAAAGACTATAACACGAACGATAACATCAACAATAGCTTGCTAGTTCATCATCAATTGCAGTCAATTTCTTTTCCAAAAAGTCTTAATGGTTACGTACCAATCGATTCCATCCTATTGAGCTTCCAGCCAAGCACTAGCCCACTTTGGGCTGGAAATGATTTTCTTCAACTTGATCAATAAACCGCTTTAAGGACCATACTTCGACTGCTGATATTTCTTATGTCTAGCAAGTAAAAAGACGCTGATTGATATCATAATGTGACATGTATACTGGTCAGCGGTTTTTTTGGTGCAACAGCTCTGTCACTAACATATCAATGTGGATGTCCGCCATAACAACAATGCACTGCAGGAGTTAAACGATTGCATTAAAGGCTTATTACATTTAGGACTAAATGTTATTACATTGAAGACTTTATTACATTTAGGACCAAATGTTATTACATTTAGGACTTTATTACATTTAGGACAGTTATTACATTTAGGACTTCAACACACGTAACATTTTAGCGCTTTTCATCGGGTGTCGAAGTCCAAAAAGACCACTTTAATCACATCGGCCAAACAGAACAAAGGTAAATGTCGCCAGTATCAAATAGGAATTCACAGAAAAAAAACACTCAAACGAACCGCCCGAACCGCAGGAAAACTCAAGTGACCAACTCGTGAGTGGTTTTAGTTCTACATCTGATTGGTTGAGCAGGTGGCCTAAAATATTTTACACCAATCATAGAGCGCCTTATAATAGAACCAATGCTCAGTACGAGATTACTTCCTGAAAACCCTTGGTTGACAAAAACTTGAATCCTTTACAACCTATCATCAGTTTTCATATTCTCAGTTCACACTGTTCTCTTTACATTTCCTAAGGTATTGACGAGCCGGAGAATTTGCTTAACAAACGACAGCTTCTTTAGTTGGTGATAATTTATTTTGTTCTCTTGACCTAAATTTTTGATTCAGGAGTGATATGGAGAGGAGAAATTAGTTGCTAGTAACTCTTAGGGGTTAAAAGGTTACAGCTGGAAGCTACTATTTCCAGCGCTACTTTGTCAAAGTCCGTTGTTAACAACGGAAAAAGTATTACCTTACGCATCGTGACATGCATTCAGTCTACGATATTTTGCAGCTGTTTTTTTTAGTCTTTGTAGTCTCCCTAATTGAAGGACAGAAAAAGGCCAAAAATAAGAAGAATGAATTAAAAAGGCCGAGAACGGTTAACGAATTAAGGCAAGAGAAAATAATAGGACTTTATCTTCTCTCGACAGAGGAGACAAACACGGATCGCTAATCCGCTGAATTTCAAGATGCAGAAGTTTTTACATGGGTCCATGAAGTTATCGAGTTATATCACTGTATACGTTATTTCACAGGCTAACAGCAGTATCAGTCATTTCGACGAAACATTGAGTTGCTTCTTCTTCACAAATTGTATTGCTTCTGAGATGTTGACGATTGTTATTTTGTGGCTGTAAAAATGTTGAAAGGCTATACGCTACAAAAACCAGCAGTAAAAAAATTAATCCAGTGTCGAGTTTCCGAAAAGAAGACGAAATAAACAATCGTTTTGTTGTTCATGGCAAGCTTTCGCCATTATTCGACTGTACTGCCCGATATTTGTTGGCGGTCTGACGTAAAAGGAACAGGTTACCTCAGTAAGTAAAAGGTTGACTTGTTAATATAATAGCTTATGAACCCTAAGTAAATTAGAAAATACAATTCGATAAGTTTCTTCTATGTTAGCAATGAAGCGCTTCCACAAGTGAAAGAATCAAACTGAAATTAACTGTGACCTTCTTGCATTTACGAGTAAAATCCGTCCTTTTCGAGACCCTTAACTGATATACTTCCGCTATACGTCACTGAAACCCACGTCAACAGATAGGAATAAATTTTGTTGACCATTGGCTAATAGCTATTGAATCATAATTCATTCTCTCCTCTTTGATTCAACTTAAGTTTTGCATAGATGTTATCTGAATATCTATTGTTTTAATAATGGAATATTACTTCTCTACGGAGTGTTAACATTGTCATCAACCTTTGCCCCAAAATCAAAGTTGATAAATAGCTTTTCAGTTCTCTATCTACGCAATGGATCATAAACTTTGATTAAACAAACGCTTTGCTCTTTATATTTAAATGCCATTAAGTAAGCGATGTTAAGCTCTTTTAAGATTCGACGTCAAACAGCTTTCCATTGCAAGGGACTCTTGGCGGTTCTTTGCATCTAAATGTAAATATCTGTTTCGCGTACATGCTAATTGCTGTCAATCTATGAGGCGTCAAAATTGATGCGTAAAATCTATTAGCTGTTAATAAAGGGTTCTTTTATCAAAAGCTATTTATATTGCATTATATTTCAGATTAGTCTAGACAAAGACTCGTTTCTGGAGTAGGTATTTCTGACATATCTTCTTCAGTGTGTTAAATTAAGGTTGAAAGCTTTCGGTGTAGAATCGCAAAATCGGAAGTAGGTTATCGAAAGTTGAGATCAGTCTCCGAAGTTGCGTGATCACCCACATGCAAATGAAAGTGACGGTTCGCTTACCATTGTACACTAGTATCTTGGATACAGATGAAGTGTTTTGCTGTTTGGAACTCTAAAGTAATCCTTTGTTTACCAGAAGCCGTCTCACGGAGCCTTGATGATAAAATTATGCGAAATAATGTCTTGTCATGGTTCTGAGATGTTAATACCATCACAGAATGGCTATTTCAGCAAAGCAGCAAGGGACATCTGTTACGTGTGAAAGTCTTATAAAGACACGTCGATTAAATGAAACTGAATCCTTCCTCTTAGAGGAAAGACTTAAGGTCTTGGATAATAAAAAAACCCAAAAGAATGCTGAGTACAGAGTGGAAAAATATTCGCTTCAGAAGAAGATTAGAGAAATACAAAATGTTCGGAAAAATCCAGGAATAAGCCCGGAAAGAAGAAAGCTTCTGCGCTCTCAAGGGTACACTATCGACGGTCGCGCGGCCTTGGCTAGTTCTGAAGACATGCCTGTGGCTTACAAGAGATTTTCGATGCCTGATATGAACGGTAGAGACTCTCGTAGTCGTAGACGTCCCAGAGGTTTGAACTTGCGTCACAGCGAGCCTACTATGAAGACATTTTCTCAAATGACCCTTCAAGATGAAAGAGGAAAAAAGGAAGAAAGCTCAGCTGTAAACAAAGAACAACAAAGTGATCCTGCTGGTTCGGCGCGGGCCAAAGTGAGGCTACAGTTCCGTGTTATTGAACCTCCATGTCGACCTGGATCGCGAAGAAACTTTATCCAGTTGTCTGACGAGAAACTAAAGGAATTGAAAGAGAAAGAAGATAAAGAATCAAAAGAAACTTTACTTGACCCAAGACTAAAGTTAGATCATAGGGGTGTTATTGTGTCCCATAGACTGGTAAAATCTTTGCGTGACACATCACATGCAGAAACGATTAAAAGCAATGGACGGGAAGACAGAGAGACTGAAGAAAAGCGTCAAAGGGAAATGTCGTTTAACTCGGACACAAAGGCTCACACTGAAATCTTTGAGGATGGTAACACAAAAGAATTAGAGTCCAGATTTCAAATAAATGACAGGAAGTTAATATCTAAGTCGTGCGAGAGCTTGGATAGCATAACGGAAGTTCGTGTTCCAGACAGCCCTCCAGACTGTCTCGATAATGGAGTTTCATTGCTACAAAATGTGATTGCGCCCAGCAGCCGTGAGCCACATCATGATCACAAGTTAATCACGAGTAGAGAAGTTAACAAAGTGCGCAAACATGCTAGCACCAGACCTCCGGCGCGGTTGGCATTTGTTGATTCACCAGATTCAACTCCAGATGCAAATAATCAAAGTACTTTTAATTCTGAGATTGAATTACGACAACCGAAAGTGCATGGCTTACAGCACAGTAACAGTGTAAATAACACAGATATACAGCCATCCCATAGTGACAATCGAAATTTTTCTGAAAGTACGTCCACCGAAATTAAACAATCATCCCACCAAAAATTGGCAGAGAAACAAATAAGGAGAAGAGCAACCTTACCTCCAGGGAAGTTCCACGCCGTGTCAAGTCAAAATGATGTCACACTAAACCATGATGCAAGCAAAAGAGATTCTCAAAGGCTAAGCATACCTTCGCTGGGCACGAACGTTCGCAAGTCTAAAAGGTCCGTATTTACTTGGCAGCCCGTGCGAAATACCAAAGGAGACGCGATGACATACGCATACGATGCGCGGCCGAATCAGTCACTTTCCAAAGGATATGTTACCATGCAGATGACCGTCAAAGGGAAGCAAGTTAAAGTACACATTCCAAAGTTTCCCAACGACGAATCCGAGCCGACTCTGGATCGTGCACGGAAAAAAGTATCAATTGCTCGGTTCCGACCTAGAACGTTACAAGAAATAGTAAAATCAAACGAAGAAGGAACATTACTGCAGAGACATGCAACTTAACGAAATCTATTCCGTTCGTTTTACTTCCGCTAGCTGATTTTGAAGAATTGTACTTTAGTTTTAACTGTTTTGAATCATTTATTAAATGCCGTTTGGAGAGAATGCCAGTGTTGTTTATATATGTATATTATTCTATGAATTTTTTGGTCCGGGGGCTTGACACCTTTCCCAACAATTTAATTTTCACGGTTCTATTCCAGTGACACGAAAATTCACGTGGTGATTGCAGCTCGTCGTTCAATTGATCGATAATTATTGAAGTCTACCAGGAGCCCATTACCCGGAGCCTCCATACCAATTGTACCCTTGAGTCAACCCTTTCCCGTGTCTTTTTATTTTTAGAACTGCTGTGGGGTTCTTTAATTTCCCGCGAAAACACGCTGACGTTCGCATAACACCCTAAAAAAATGGCGGCCAAAGACGAAGGCTGACCTATATTCCTTCTCTGCATGATACGAGCCAGGGTTGACTCAAAGTATGGAAGATGGAAGCTCCGGGTAATGGGCTCCTAAGTTTACATTAGTTTACTCTGCGAAAGACAAGTGTCTTGTCCAAGAACACAAAACAAAGTTTTCCTTTCCAGTTAAAATTAATGGCGTTTGCTCTAAAATACTCCTCACGACTGCAGGAATTTCAGCACGACTGTTTGTTAGCAAGAAGGAAAGACATGCTTGCATAATGCATAGCCCCTTTAATAAATCCTTATGCAACGTAACGTATTTGGGATGTCGTGCAATTTCAATCGATGAGGATAACTGCTTCCTTACGTCTAATGCCCCGGAATTTGTTTGATCGGGAACGAGGCAAGTCAGCTGAGGATCAATGCGCATGCCCAGTTCCGTTCAGAAAGCAAAATGGCGGACGTGGACCAGTGGATTGATATCGCAAAACAATGTAAATATCTTCCAGAAAATGACCTAAAGGTAAGTTCAATTGATAAAAACGTCTTGGCATACTCGTGGTACGTCAAAATTTTTTTCACAATTGGATACTTTCTTGTCTTCTTGTTGGTAGAAACTTTGTGACTACGTCTGCGAATTGCTGCTTGAAGAATCAAATGTTCAACCGGTTTCCACGCCAGTTACTGTTTGTGGAGACATTCATGGACAGGTATCCTTACGTATTTATTCAACATGGAAATTTTCAGGATATTTGTATCAATAAAAGGAGGTGCATCGGTCTGTTTATGGAATACAATATTTGAAGATTCAACTCATCAAAAATTTTGCAATACACTAGCTCTACAATGCAGGGATAGTCTACTCACGTTAGGTACCTTTTTGTTTTCAAGTCTCGTCAATATCTATTGTTTTGATGACATAAGATTTAAAAAGACGAGAAGAGATGGCAATTTTTCTCGTACGTTGTCAAGATTTTTCATTATGTCCCTGCTATGTTGGTGTAAATACATTTTGTTAATTCTATTAATTTGACTTAATTAGTGTCATAGCCGACATAAGCTGGTATTTGAATACTCCTGTAAATTTGTATATTGCACAACCAGTCTGTGTATGTGGTTTTGTGAAAATGGTTATAGAAATTTTATTCAGATACATGATAAACAATATTTAATTATTGGATTTGTCAATTCTTATAGTTTTATGACTTGGAGGAATTGTTTAAAACTGGAGGACAAGTTCCAGACACATCATATGTGTTTATGGTGAGAACATTTCATTTTACATAATTAATATTATCTATATCTAGGTTTCTTATTTATCAATAATTCATTACAAATCCATCCTCAAGAATGCAAATTAAAAAATTCCAAAACTAGTTTTGTAATCCTAAAAGGTATCCTAATGTATCCACAAATCTTGAAATCTAGAGATCCTATCAGTAATTTTCCCCTCCAGAGGTTACTCTCTTGATTATGAATTTATTCTGAAAATTTTACGATGAATTAAGGAAATACCTTGTGGCTGACTAGGCTGTCTTTTCTCATCACCTGTTGGCTGTAAAATTAACAACATGTGATGAGGATATGAGTTGGTAAATGGCCTACAAGGAACATAATCCTGAAGTTTGGATACAGTATTTGACGCTTCCTTTTTAGCATTGCAACTGTTGGTGCAATTCTTTTCCATATAAGGTGACTCGGAATCTGAGCTGATAAATGGAGTTGAGTGAACCAATCAGAACACTTGAAATGCAATATTTAAGAATTTGATAGTGTATTGTTATTGTATTGAGAATTCACATGTTGAATCTCACCTCTTGGAGTTTTATTTAGTAATGCAGCATCATTAAGTCATGCAGTGCTTTTAACAAGATTTGAAGAAGGTGATCAACTTGGTAAAGCACCAATCAGAGAATAATGTGAAAAACAACTTCCCTCTTGTTATCATGTTACTTCAATTCAGAACAAATTGGCTTCAAACAGTTTTTGGTGTTACTTTTGTAGATGATCATTAAATATTCATTTCCTGTATACTGATTGTTATATTTCTGATCAAAATCTTTCATTTCTGCTCCCTGAGTTTCACACTGGTTACTGAAATTTGAGTCAGTATGTTCTTGGAAACTCAAAATCTTTTTTCGTTGGAAATGTATGAAATGTATGGTGGAATATGTGATAGAAAATATCAATCATTTTTGTCAAAACTTGTTTATAAAGGTAAGAGTTGCTTGAAAGAACTCTAGAAGATCTCAAGGTGTGTTAGGTCTCACTTCATGAGTTTGCTTAAAAGTTTCCAAAGCATACCTGGCAATTCACAACAGAAGACCCGCCAGAGCTCTGGAGGGTGGCGGGTCTTATTGAAAGCACTGTACATGTAGGCTAAATGGCCCCCCTAATTATAGGTTTGGCTCTTACAATAAGTTATGAGAAAAAAAGAAGTTAGATGGGATTCACTGAACAAAGAAAGCTTGTCAGAGTTTTGAATGAAACTGAAAATGAAACTGTATCATATGTCACAGATTTTCCCATAATTATTCTGAGATCCATTTGGGGTTTGGTGAATTTACTTAATGAAAAATCAGTTATTACCTATAAAGTTTTATTTTCTTTGATTTTGTTTTCTTGAAAGTGTCTATGTGATTTAACATTTACATTGAAAACAGACATGCAGTGAATTTTTTTTGTTGATATATTGAGTTACATACTCTTTCCTTTAGTGATATAATTTTTTTGTTTCACAGGGTGACTTTGTGGACAGAGGCTATTACAGCTTGGAAACATTTACCAGGTTATTGACTTTGAAGGCCAAGTAAGATGTTCCTCTCTATTTTAACTTGAAATTGAGCTAATGTATATATTGTACTTTGAGAGAGCAAACATGAAGTAGAGAAAAGTCCTAGTCACCAGAAGCAAACAAACTTGTCTTTCATCATTTTTCTCCTTCTTCACCTTATGACTTCCTGCTTGCTCTTTTGCATGTAATTTCAGCAATCAACAATGATCAAAGAAACATTATTCAAGGGTGAAAAGTTTCCAATAACCAGAAACATTTTTAATTCATATGATAATAGAAACCTTTGAGGTTCAAACCTAAGAGAGAGCTGATTTTTGCCCAACTTTTTGTTGAATAAACTGCCATTCATTGAACTGTTCCAGATGGCCTGATCGTATTACACTTCTGAGAGGAAACCACGAAAGTAGGCAGATTACTCAGGTGTATGGCTTTTATGGTAAGTTTGAAGCATGTCTCTAGTCTTTCATTTAAGCTGGGATTTTTTTCCCAGTTTTAGTACAAAAAAGTGCTATATTTTAATACTCATGACAATGTTCTCAACATGAAAAATGATTCATGAGAAAGATCAATAATTTGAAGAAACAAACTCTTGTAGTTTTAAAGAAAGAGCTGAATGAACCTTAAGTGGTCCAGATACATTTGATGTCTTTTTATTTTGTTTTTCAGAGGTGTTTTTTCAGAGGTGGTTTTGTTTTTAAGTGGTCCAGATACATTCGATGTCTTTTTATTTTGTTTTTCAGATGAATGTCAGTCCAAGTATGGAAATGCCAATGCCTGGAGATATTGCTGTAAAGTGTTTGATCTCCTCACTGTGGCTGCTGTACGTTGTTGTCACAGTCATTACATAATTATCCAGTGTTTTTTAAGAACAAATGTTGTTACATATAATTACCTAAAAATTATTTACCGATTGAATGTGGAGGTGAATAATTGTGTTAGTACATATCATGAAGGAACCAAAAATTAGTAGAGTTCTGTCAATATTCCGAAAACTGGTTGGAAAGTAAGCTCTTGACTTGTGATATTGTCTCCTTGGCTACTTAGAGGTAAATACTGTACTTTTTTTATCACCTCTGAAAAAGCCAATCAGCATGCCAAAAAAGCAATATTTACCTGTGTGGAATATACTAAATGTCTTAATCACCTAATTAATTATGTATAAATGTGGATTGCTATGGGAAGTTTGCACATCTGACTGCTTGTTGATACAGAGAAAAGAAGCTTGGAGATTCCCTGTATTTGTTTTGTAATATAATGACTTTCTACTAAGCATTTATAATAGAGTCAATTTGCCAACAGGTTATTGATGGATCAATTTTGTGTGTCCATGGTGGGTTATCACCAGATATTCGGACTCTTGATCAGGTAAGTATGTGAACACAGAAATTTTTCTTTGTGATTTACTACATATTCCCACTGTTGTTGTCACTGTTGCATTTACTGTAGGTTGATAAACATTATCTAGGTTCAAAGTGAGGAGTATTGATTAACTCTATTGTCATTGTCACTTATTTACAGGTACGGACTATAGATCGTAACATGGAAATCCCACACAAAGGAGCTTTTTGTGATATCCTTTTGCGTGATATTAAGTTAAAGGGATGTTAAAGACTCTGTTTTGATTAAACATGGAACCACATCTATGGAACAACTTTTCATTAAGGAAAAGAGAAAAACATTTTCCTTCTATGATTTTAAGCTCCTTGTTCCGCACATACATAGCTTAAAAAAGCTAATACCTATATAACACAATTGACATTATATCACAATTGATGAATGGTTAAGAAATTCAAATAACACCTTGGAAAGATCAAACTACAGAAGGAATGCATGGTATTACCTGTAGAAATGTGTTGTTTGAAAGAGTTCCAATGATTAAAGAGTAGACCCTGACAGCAGTCATAGCAGAACAATTAATGTAATATCCCAAAAATGATGAAAATCACCTTAAAGATTAGAGGGACTTACACCTCATACAAGCCTAGAAGAGAGCATGTACTTCAACAAACTAAAATACATCCTACACACTACAAAATATTTCTCTACTGTTGGACAAAGTAAGGTCCTTTAGTTCCATGCAGAGACACAGTGAGAGCACTTAAGAATATCAACATTTAAATTAATATACTTACTTTTGCCCTGTTTGTTATGCAGAAATTACATGTAAACATTATCAGCAACAACCGATTTTAACTTAATGGTAATTTTCTTGTAGTTGACTTGGTATTATTTGCCCATTGTTCTGACTCATAAATTGAGGAATATGAAAAATACAAGGGTTCCCTGTTAGGAATACCAGTCTTCTTTGATTAGGATTGCCCTTAGTAGAAGACCAGCCAGGAAGAGAATAGAAAATAACTTACCTGACCAGTAGGTATGGGTCTCTTGGACCACCAGACAATGTCTGAAATATGAGGAGCTTTCTGTTAAAATCACAGGCCAAGGAACTTGTTATAAAAGTAGTTCTTTTAGTTCTTTGTACAGTGTTACTCTCTTTGACATTATGTACATCTGGTGTGGTCTGATCCAGAAGATGTTGATACTTGGGCTATAAGTCCTAGAGGTGCAGGATGGCTGTTTGGGGCTAAAGTCACTAATGAGGTTACTGTTTTGAAAAGTATAACTATATTTTAGAGCTTTAGTTTAAGATTTTCCTTTGCTTGAAATTTTCCAATCTAGTTTAAGTTAAGCTTGCTTTGTTTTAATTTATGATCATGCAACAACTACTGTAACAACACAGCAAAAAACAAAAAGCCCAAATTTGTCTGAGACCCTTTGAGCCAATTTTAATGTCATTTTTGAAGGACCCTTTTTTAAACCAGGGTACACTAGAAATGTCTGTTACGCTGAATTTTCCTTGTTTGGCCAAAATTTTCATATTCTTTTTTGCATGTGAAAAAATAATCACAAAAAATTCTTCCCTATTAGTTTCTCTTAATTTTGGTATAATTTGTTCAAGAAAGAAAGAAGATCGGTGAGGAAACTTGGGTCAGTGCTCCACATCATTGACACAACAATTATTGTAACAGACATGTGGGCCCCTTTAAGTTTGAGGTTGTGGGAATGTTTGGGCAGAAATGATTGGTGTATTGCATAAAATCATGTAAAATGTGTAGTTGAATTGACAATTTCATTTTCATTTTCCCAGTTTGTACACATCAACAGCTTGAAGCTGATATGCCGCGCTCACCAGTTAGTCCATGAAGGATACAAGTACATGTTCGATGAGACATTAGTCACTGTTTGGTCAGCTCCAAACTACTGTTACCGTTGTGGAAACATTGCATCAATATTGGCTTTCTCTGATCCTGATACAAGAGATCCCAAGCTATTTAAAGCAGTACCAGACTGTGAGAGGATTATACCTCCCAGAACCACAACTCCTTACTTTCTGTAAATAAGGAGAAGTAAAACAAGATTTAATGTTTTCCCATCATTAAAGTCAAAAGCATGCTTTGTAAATAGTCCAATTGGGTAAAGACCTTCCAATTTGACATGAGGCACTGGAAACTTGAATAGTCCTCTTGAAAAGTCATGATCATTTTGGCCATTGCTGGACAAGTGGAGATCTCAGAGAAATGGTCATTTTAAGCTTGTGTGGCTGTTTCTCAGAACACTTCAAATTGTCTTTGTAAATATCTTTTGTGAGCTAGCTGTGTATTGTATACATTGTTGAAGAGATACTTTTTCAATGTGAATTGCCAACAGTTTTCATTAGAGGTGTATAATCACATTATTATCCACCCACTGTAGTTAACAGTTAAATTTTAAGTTAGAGTCACAGATAGTATTTCACTCATCCTAAGCATGTTTTTCAGAGTTAAAACTAGTTGATGTACCGAATTGAAATTTGGCATCCAATTTGAATTGCCATTGTTTTGGACTGACTAACCTCTCACACATGTGATAATCCTTTTGTGTTTCCACAATTCAGTGGACATGTTTCTGAGAAAACATTAAAATTGGTAACATGACCTTTTGAGATATGCTGTATTATTTCATTTGCTTCTTTCAATATTACCTCTATCAAATGTAGGCAGAAAGTAGATATAGGTGCTTTGAACATGTAAAATCTTTTTTTTTTCTAAATAAAGAAAAAGCAGTGTTCTGCTGAGAATTGAAGTCTAAATGGAACTTAGTTCATGCTTGCAAAGCTTTGTACTAGCAAAAGAGGAAGTTTTAGGATAAATTTGATATTATCCTATTCTTAATCAAGAGTTTGCATAAAGTGTTGAGGGAGCAGAAGAAGAATTTTTTATTTTTCTTTAAAAGAACTTACTCACTGTGGCAATGGAAACCTTGATTATGGAGGAACAATGGGAAGGGGGTTGCAGTTTTTTTGTACCATGTTTTATTTTCTAACTCTTCATGTAATTGATTACAATATATCACGAAAATGAATTGATGTGTTTTTATTTCTTGAAGGAGACATTTAAAATTTGGAATTTTGGTTAATTCTCTCCACGGTTTAAGTGGAAGTGGCATGGAAATCTTCCCCACAAAAACGCCCCACTTTGCAAAACAAACCACCTCCATGCCGGCTCCACTGAGGGTCAATATCCTTGTCTCCTCATAACTTGAGGTCAATTTGCCTAACATGAAACGGTAAACCCAAACAAAGGGCTGCCCTTTTTTCATAAACACCTTTGCTCTTCAAGAGGAAAACGGCATTTCCAAATCCCTCCCATCATATAGACCTGAAGAATAGAAGATCGTTTGTTTCCTGGTGAGTGCTCCCCTCTAGATCTCAAGTCGCAGTTCCCACAGTTTATTAGCGACACTTCATTAGCCATACTTGAGTAACTTTTTGCCGTGACGAGAGGGATCTGGTGTGGCAAGGCGAGAGATCAAATATGGCGGCGTTAAGGAGCTTCGGATCGTGGTCTTCACTTTGTATAAAAGCTTCAAGCGCGTCGAATTATCTTCATAACACGACGGTGCAACGTCGGTACGCTCAAGGTGTTGTTCAATCCGCTTCCTTTTTGATGCAACAACGGGGTAAGTCGAATTCTACAGCTTTAAACAGTACGATGTAAATTACGAAGTATATGTTGTAAACGTTAGCTATTAATGATATTTAGATAAAGTTTCCTCTACATTGTTCCTTTATCCTTTTCAGAGAGAAAAAGGAAAAGAGACCATAAAAAAAAGAAACCTAAAATAAATCAGTGGATATATAAGGTAGGAAAATGCACTGTGCTCTCATCTATAAAATATATAATAGGGCTAGTTGGCTGTCTGCTGTAACTCAATAAAGGTTGGAAAATTCTGAAGTACAGCATTAGTGAGACAAAAATAGTCGGTAAAATTCCCGTACAGCCCCATCCTACATTATGCATTCAGTTCTTGAACAGAGAAAACAATGACAAAAACAATACATTTCCATTGGGAAAACAGATTTGTTTTACAATGGTATGGGGCTGTGCGGAAACTTTACCAAATAGTCTGACTGAAGTTACAAATTTGCTTCAACAGAGGGTTGATTCATGAAACAAAGCTTTTCAAAATTTACTATGCCATTTTTATTTATTGTTTCCTCTGAAGGTTGTTACCAACTGAGTGTTTCACTTGCCTGCTGACAAAGCACAAAAGTATTTTCGAAAACTGATAAACTTATTCATAGCTATTATTTAAAGCCTTTATCCTTTAAAGGGGAACTTGCTGACATACTGATTAAGACCCTAATCAGAAGCTGCTGATTAATAATGACACTTTTGCTCATGAATGCTTTACATTGAACTATATTCTGAAAGGCAACACCTATTTCTGTGAGAAGAACCTTAAATTCATCTTACAGACTGTTAGTGTGTTAATTTTCCATGAAATCACCTACACTAGACTCTAACCCCCTTTCATACTTGTAAACAGCTTCCCATTTGTAGGATGGAAGCTTTTAAAAATTATCAGAAGTTGAGACCTGTACTAACCCCACAAGTATTTGAATTAAGTGCTCTGAACATGCATTGAGATAACTATAATTTTACAGAAAGGTAAGGTAAGGTGAGATTTGGAGTTTTCCTCCAAAATTAGCAATTGATGAAATACTGTTTTAAATTTGTGTCTGAAATGTGATCAGAACCCTCTTTTGCTAGCCTCCAACAACTCAGGGGTAAAGAGTGAAGAGTATTATTGTTATCTGCTGTGTACAATTCACAGAATATCCCTGGAAACTTGAAGCTAAGAAGTACATATACAGATTGGCCATCTGTTTTCACTGGACCCCAGTCATATAATCCTGCTACAATTCCTGTTCTCTTCAGAATGGGACGAATGAAACACAACAAATATGGCCAAGACCGTCCCAAAGGAGCAATTGGAAACATAGAACTATCCAAGGTAATTAAAAATAACTTCAGGTGTGAGATATTATGAAGATAGTCATATAAGTCTTAAACCCTCAGACATGTACAACCCTTTCACTTTCTTAAATTATTCCATTTGTGTTGAGCAGTCATGTGTTTACCTGAACTCTTCTAGGTTTAGTTGACAGAAGTTCTCCATTTTCTTCCTACTCTTAAAATATTTCAACCTACTCTGATGCTTTTGCAAAATCCTAAAATATATATGACATATAAATTGGTTGTTCTTTTTAGATACCAACCTTTTTTCACTTGGCTCCTCCTGCTGTTGAAAGACAGTGTCAGGCTCTAAAGTGTGAGTAGCATCTTGATCTTGGCTGATTGAGCAATGACTTGGTGCTTCCTGTAGTTTTCTCCCTTTGTCTGATCATGACTGGTATACATCTGAATTTACATCGTAATGTTCTTTATTTTTGTTTAGCAACACCATTGTTTTTGGTGCTGGTCTTTTTTTTTAATTGTTTTGAAAATAGTTTATCATTCATAGTGTACAATTGAGCTGTGATTGAACAGAGATCAGATCTTTAAATTACTTAAATTTTGCTGTACAAAGGATGGAATAACAAAATCTGTTCTTAACTCATTTTTATCTATCAGACTCTGTCACCTCAAAATCCTGTTGGAGATTCTATATACCTTTTAAGTGGCCCATTGAGGTTGATTGTAATTCTAATAAGCTTAATTAAAGAAAGCATTTCCATTCCTAAGGTAGCCAAAGGAAAATCTGATGATGCTACAATTGATTTATTTTGTTATAATTGAATTCTTTCAATTTTTGTTTTAAGCATTATGTACTGAATGGCCAAGCAACCTTGACCACTCAAGTGTACCATTGCGAGTAACAACCAAAAATTACTTATTTGCTGGACCATCACTTCATCATCCAGGATCAAGAGTGGTCAAACTTCAGGTGTTGTTAAACTTAAACTGAAGTAATTACAATAATCAATCAGTACAGTACAGGCAAAGCGTCCAAAACCCAGAGAATCTTGTGTGATCAAGTTGCAAATGTTTTTAGTTTTGTATCTTAGTACTTGAGAGGGATTCACAGGTTTTCTTTCACACAGTGAATTAAAATAAAACAGAAGGCATCCATTACTTTCAGTTACCTATTTGAAATTACACAAAACCTGCGATTGCGCGACATTATTAAGAACTTTATTTTTCAACCCTTTGACCCCTAAGGGCAACTAGCATCTAATATCTCCACACAATACCACCCCTGAATTAAGGACTTGAAAATAATGGAAAAGATCACCAACTAAAGAAGCTCTTGATCGTTAAACAAATTCTCCTTGTCAGCACCTTGGGTTATGTATAGAGAACAGTATGGAGAATATGCATACTGATGTTGGAATGTTAAGGTCTAGGATAACCCATTCAATGTAATATCTTCAGGTTTACTTGAGAGATCTGGTTCTAGATGATCATGCCAGAAAGAAGTTGATTGAACTGGTGGAGGATCGCTATGATCCAGAGACTGATGAGCTTACAATTGTCACAGACAGGTAGAGTGCTCTTTCTTTCTTTCTCTTCAGGAGATTGAAGTCTGATTTTTTTGTATGTTGATTTCTTGAAGCAGTTATGGATGATGATTGACAGTTAAACTTAGTTAGGGGTGGTTGCTAACAAATTCTGTGGAACTTCTGGTAACGATCAAAGAGATGTACCTTTTTAAATTCTCACTTATATTGTGTTTTTCACGAACATCCAAACGTAAGAGCTCTCGATGCATTATTAAAGATGTGTTTCACGTTGGCTTCTGTGAGTTAAGTTGCGGCTCTCGCGGGAAACACGCACACTGTGTCAGAGTTCAAATGGACATTGTGATTGGACGATTTCGATCCATTTTGGTATTTTTCTCCACCTGGATGCCATTATGGTTACGACAATGGCAGCATGAAATTCGCAAATTTGGCTACGAACTTTGGAGTTTGTACGTCATTGAAAGGCCCAGTAAAGTATTTAATGATAAAAATAATACTGTTTGTTGTTTACTTATCGTGGTTTTTTTCCAGATGTCCAACAAGGAAACAGAACCGGGATTATGCCATGTATTTGCTAAGCGTACTTTATCACGAGTCTTGGGTGAGTCGTGCTTGATAATTTCTCCAGATATTGACACTATTGTCTTTCACTTGTAGTTTAGTTGTAACTAAAGGCTGCTTCCATCGAGTAGCTCCTGACCTTGTAAAATGCCATCATTGACGAAATACTCCAAGGTACTATGCTTTTCAATGTGTAATCTGCGTCAATCATCATCATCTCTGACCTTCCATGTTCCTTTTTTATTAATTGAAGCCTCTTAAGATATTTCCAATCTTATGGAACGTACACTTTTTGCCCTCCTTGAATTGTACGACGACTTCGTACGATGCAAAATAAAAGCATTCCGACGTAGCTCCATAGATTCTTGCAGTTATTGACATAAGGGAAAACATGACAACGAAGAACTGTAAACCGAAAATGTTGTCATCTTTTTTTCAGAAAACCGAACCATGGGAAGCTGAGGCGAATAAAGAAGAAGCAGAAAGCGACGACGAAGATGAGGAAGAAATAATGCAGTTGAAAAAGAAACCCAAAAAACCAAGACCCTTAAAGCTTATTAACGGAGAATTGTACAGGGTCAACAAGTTCGGGAAATATTTTAAACTGTTTATAAACGAAAAAGACTAGAATGGAAGATTAGAACGAGAGAACTTTTATCCACTCGGTTTTCTTAAAGTGCTTGCAACGAATGCTTTTGTACAAATGTGTGACTTCGTTTGAATCACCATGCAATGCGTGGAACAGATTGCTTTATCACCTGGGAAGAATTCCAGTCTTCAGGTGCACTGAGAACACTTTTGCAACTGATGATAGAAGAATGGAAGACTCGGAATATACCAATGGTCGATGTGGCATTGGAAAACTAACTGAGAATTTTACCGGAACGAATTGGAAAAATCGTAGAAGAGTGTCAACAATTATTTTATTGTTCTTTTTCTCTGATAAGATTGACTGTAGAGCGGGAGAGGAGAAATAATATTTTTTCTGAATATGTACTTTTTATGGCGTTTTTTGTCTTAACCCCATCTTAGGGAAGAAGGAGGTGAGACTACAAGCAGTGTCCGTGCACGAATCAAGACAGATTCGCTTGCATTTTATCGTTGCAAGCTGCTCTACTTAAAATCGGTCAAAATACCGCTTCGCTAAAATGAAAGGCACAAACGCTGGAAGTGAACATGCAGCTCTATAGTAAAATAGACCTCTCGTCTTTTTTGAGACAACAGCTTCAGTAAAACACTGAACACTTTTCTTCCTATGACCGTAACTCTTAAGTTTTTCTTCAGTGTCGGGGGTGTCTCCCTTCTTTCCAGCCGCGCTAAGCTTTCGTGTGGGAACGAGTTGTGTGTCATCGCTCACGAGGAGTAAGCCTTGTACCAAACAGCAGATTCCAACGACTGAGCATTAAATGAGGTTTTTAACCTAATGGTTAACGGCGTATTAAGCAGTTTTCAATTGCGTCGAAAGTCGTCCGCTGTTGGATTTGTTTTGCTTTACATCACTCTGTGATTGGTTAAGAAAACTCGTACCTTTCTCTCGACCAATCAGATGTAAAAGAAAAGCTGGCTTTTTCTTCGCTTTTAGAATAGTTTGCTTTGTGTTTGCTTTCTTTTTCTCTGATTGGCTGTTGTGATTAATTTGGTTTTGATTTTACGACACTCAATGAAATCTAATCTATCGTTTGAGCACTGATTGTAAGGAGTTTCACCGACGTAAATTAAAGTATTCAGTAAAGTCATAATAGTACTTCCAGAGTGAGTAAAAGATCTCAATAAAACCAAGTATCGAGGGAAAAGGGTGTTCAGTGAATTGAGTGTTTGTTGGAGATCCTTCACTAATCATTGAAGCTGTACTCTTTCCTCCCACGAAGCTTGCTGTAAATAACTCTATTCTCTAGGTGGAAGAAAGATTCATAAAATAGCAGCTAGGTTAAGAATACGATCGCTAGGTTTCTCCAGCAAAGACCATTCAGGGTTGGGCCTCCATTTTTCACCCTAAACGCTCTTCGTACTGTGGGGCCCACCGTGCTTTTTATCAAAATATTTAAGCGCACAAGAGAGGCTCTTATAATTTTTAACGATGCGTGTTCCATTGGACTGATGAATCATGTATGGATTGCGACATTGCTTGCACAATCATTTCATGTTATGTTACATGAAGTCCTGATGCACGACCGATTGGCACGTGCCGAACAAAATTCCAAAATGGAGGTTCTCCCTGCAGAGCTTCATCCACATGTTGATGCCATTGATATTGAAGAAGGTTCCTGATCAGCAATTTTCTTATATTAAATTTATTAAACTGTAGTTTTTTCAGTTCTAATTCATCCCATTTTTCTCACAGACGGTACATTAGCCGTAGCATCCTCAGCATTAACCGGCCGAACGTGGAACGGATCTTTGTGGTTGTTTAAAGATCGTGCTAAAGCACCGGATGTCCATTACTGCAGTGCTGGATGTGCTACAGAATCAGGGACGACAGACATTAAGTGGATCGACTCTAGAAGACTTGTCCTTGGATCTGATACAGGCACTGTGGACATCTGGTGTCTGAGTGGAAGCTTTCAAAGTTTAGAAAATATGGCGTCGTTGTCAGATCATGACAATACAGTTTCTTCCGTCAGTGTAGATTGTGTAAAGAGTAAAATTGTCAGCGGTAGCTGGGATCGAAGGTAAGCATTGAAGTTTTTATGTTAAGTCTTTGTCCTCGACCTCGTGGACTTCCTCTGAGACGACATAGAGGAATCTTTTAAACTGAACTGGTCGCTGCCAGGATTATTTCTTATGCTGTAAGCCCACATGTAATTTGCGATAATCAGAGAAAAAAACTCGCTCTTATTTTATTGTTGAATATGTTGAGACCCTAATATTCATTTTTGCAACACGTTAATGAGATATTTTCTATGTACTGATTTTGGCAAGATTTCCACACAGCTCCATATTATGCATTTGGTTCTTGGATGAAGAAAACAGTGGCGAAAACAGTAGATTGCCCTTGGCACTACGGCTTTGTTTTAGAATAATATGGGGTTACACGAAAATATTTCCATTCGATTTAACCCTTAAACTCTCATGACCTAATTGACAAATCTCCTCTGACTTACCATTTGAAATTTGTGAAAAGGCAAGAAGTTACTTGTCATCAACTCTGGGAGTTTAAGATACACTCCATAAATTCTATGGGAGCAAACATTTTTTGTGTTCACACACATGAATTCATAGCTGTTTGTTTACTCTTCTCTTCCCTGTCAGCATCAAAGTGTGGGATTTAGAGCAGGAAAAATGTATAAAGTCTTACAAAGGTATGTTTTAAATTGTTCTGTTCTTTTTTTTTCTCATTTAGGAAATAACTTCTAAGGAATTATTTGCTTGACAAAAATAAATGTTTGTTAATTTTAGGTCACAGGGACATGGTGTGGAGTGTTGTGTATAGTAGAACTGAGCAGGATGTTTTTGTTTCAGCCTCACAGGTTTGTGTTAAGTATGAATGCTGTATTTAACCCTTTGACTTCCATAAATGATTAACAGATAAGTTCTCCCTATAATATCCATACTTTATCTAGCAAACAGATTGTGAGAATCTTTATCTTAATCTCACACCAAATTCTCATGACTAATTTACATTGACATGTGTAGCAGTTGGAAGGGAGAATTAACAATCAGATCTTGGGAGAGAAAGGGGTGAAGTAGGTGAGCACTTAGTCTCCTCCCAAGCTACTCTACAGACACTCTACTGGATTAACTTCACACAAAAACACCATCATGATATTGATGTTGGTCAGCCGTTGTAGTATTGGTTTCAGGTACTTGGATAGTTGGTATTTAGGAGACTCATAGAAAGAAACAATAGGTTGCATTAGGAAACCAGGTTTGTGTAGTTTTGACAGATTGTAAAGTTTCAGTGGCTGTGGTACTGAGCACCCTCGTCAGTAGTAGGGTTGGGTGTCAATAACCTTCATCTTCTTGAGTTTAAGTAGTTTGCTGCTGAGTTCACGTCAAAATGAGGGAGTCAGGTCATGTTTGAGTTCTTCATAGGTTTGTTTTTCATGAATCAGTGCATCCATTTTGTGGTGATAGTCAGTTTTGTCCATGACAACAGTAACTCATCCTTTGTGGGCTGGTAGAATAACTATGTACTCATGTGAAACACAAATTGGTAGAATGCAAACCAGTTGGCTATTTAGAAGCCAACTGCAAATCTAAATTCTGCACTAGATGTACCTTCTATCAGTCCTGCCCAGGTTAGTGCATAAGTCAAGCCTTGGACATTGCAACAACAGCAGAAAATATACACTAACACCAGTCCTCATTCTATCTTTACTTTGGTAACTCACACTGTGGAGGGTAGATGACAGTAATATTGCATTTTTCTGGTTTGATTTTAGGATGGGAGAGTTATCCTATGGGACACCAGAACACCAAACTGTGTGTCCAGGTTGTCAGGTATATATTTGTTACAGCGTTGTACAACATAATTTTCGTCATATAATCTGTCTGAAGAGGACCTTTTTTAACCCTTTAACTCCCAGATCAAATTTGTAATTCTCCTTACTGTCAACCATACAATTCTTATACTGTTAGTTCAGAGAATTAAGTATTGGGTCAAGTAATTATCCTCAAATTGATATTTTTTGTTATTCTCATCACTTATCTGGTGGATATTGTATTGATATTGTAAGGAGAAATTCTATATTGGTCACGCATGGGACCTAAAGGGTTAATAAAGTTATCTGATTAGATTATTGGTCAAAAAGAATAGAAACACTTACTTTTTTTTCAATTCTGTGTCCATTTTTAGTATTTTCAAAATAAAATGATAATAGCAGCTTTGTATCTAATAACATGAGTATCTACAGAGACGTAAAAATAAGGAGCCAGAAATTATAAACAATACGATAAAACCATTAAAAACCCTAAAAGATTTCCTTTACTTACGAATATTTGTAATGAAAGTAGAGATCTAGATGTGCAGCTGGACTTGATTTTGTTTAAAAAGTGAAAATTAGAATAGGAAAACTACCAGGCCTAATTTACTCCTTTTTTTATTTCCTGTACACTTCTTTTTATCAGGAGCTTTGTACATGCATTCTGTACCTCTATATGTCACATGGCTCTTTTAAATGAACCCTTTGACCCCTTTAGAGTGACTAGCATCTAATTTCTCCTTACAATGTCACCCCTAAACCACAAGTTAAGGTCATGAGAATGAAGAAAATGATCACCAACTATCCTGATTGTCAATCAAAATTCTCCATGTAAGCACCTTAGGAAATTTAGAGGGAATAAGCATACTATAGTTGGGGTGTAAAGGGTTATGGTCCAACCATCTAGAGGTAATCATTTGCCATGTATTACCATCTGTTTTACAGTAATTATACATCATTTAGCTACAATAGTTCAGAGAGGGTGTGACGTCTCTCAAAATACATATTCTACTGTTCTTAGATTCCTCTCAGTATAACAGCATTCCACGTTGTGCAGACTGGAGTCCATTAGACCATCACTTACTTGCTCTTGGTTAGTGGAGTTATGCTTATTTCTAGAATAGCAAAAACAATATGTGGCAGTAGCCATTTCACTGTAAATTTATATCTTTTGACACTGCTTTTGATTACCACAATTTTCTGAGATAATCAACAACCCTGTGAAGAGCAATTTTTCAGACCATATTTGTACAACATCCAAGCATGGAAGGATCCTTAGAGGCCATCAGTTTGAACAGGATATTTAAGTAACAAGTTGAAATAGTTTCTATCATAGTGTAACAGATTTGCGTTTGTTTCTTTTTCATGTATTGATGAATATGTTTTGAACTCCTTTAGGTTATGAAGACGGTAGTGTGTGCCTCTGTAACATCCAAAACCCTAAACAACCAGTCCTAACTTTTTGCCCTCACGAAAGAGCTGTCAACAGATTGGCTTTCTCACCAAGAAGGTTAGTTTGTTTGATGAGTTCTTCCTTTAAGCTGTTGTTCATTTCTGTAGTTGATTTCTGTTATGCGAAGTTCAAGTCTTAGTAACAAGGAACTGCCTTTTGTTTGTTTAGTCCTGAATGGCTTGCTTCAGTATCAGATGACATGTGGGTACATGTGCAAGATTGTCTCAATGACACAGAAGTGTAAGTAAAGAAGACTATCTATTTACTTAGTATTATTTTTGAAACAAAGATGTTAGTTTTCCAGTTGCTAGCACAATGAAAAGCTCTAGAAACATCTTTTTAACATTCTTAAATAATGCTCTGTGATTGGTGGATACATTTGTGTATACTCAGAGTGATTGGCTGATGTAACTGTCCAATTGCAGATATCCTTTTAAAACGAACTCTCAGACTCTAACTATTATAAAGTTTAAAAAAAACTCTACAGAATCATGGGTGAAAACCATGTTACTTCATCCACCAATCACATTCAAGGAAATTGAAATGGTCATAATTGAAATTATCTCAAGATGAATGGGAATCTGTTTGATATCTTCATCAAAGCAACATGTGAAACAGAGTTTGTTATATGGATCTATTCAAAGTATAAGTGAAATATGGAGACCGTTTACAGTGAGCCTCTCAAGGCATATCTGTGAGGTGTGACTCATGAAACTGCCTATTCTGGGAGCAAAGATGGGTCGGCATCCAAATTTTCTTGCCTCAATGAGAGGTATTGTTTTTGTGATAGAAATTGTAAAACTAGAGCCTGTAAAAATTGAGGTCATCAAAGGGTTACTTTATCTAAATGTGCCAGACTTAGTAAGCAAGGCAAGGTATTTCTAACTCCCTCCCCGTTCCTCAGTCTCAGAAGTGATGAACATACGGAGGTTGTGCGGGGCCTGGCTTGGAGTCCCGTGGACGACACCTTATATACCAGCGGTTGGGGCCAGCAGATATTCAGTCATGCGTTTGACTGTGGGGAGCCTTCAGACCTTAATGTGGAAGCCAGCATATCTCAAGCTACTTCTGTGTGTATGGATATGGATTCTGTCAATCAAACGCACTTTAATGGAGATCTCAATGGAATGTCTCTGGATGACGAGAATGGTGAAGAAACGATGGAAGTTGAAGGGCACGGAGCCACACAAAAGACTGTGTCTTCTAACGTAGGAACGGATAGCTCGGTTGGGACTGTTAGCTAGCACCCTGTTAACTGTAAATAGAGATATAACTTAACAATTTTGTTTATGAAACAAAGGTGTATACCTCTCAAACCGTAAGATAGGAGCCTTGTTTTGGAGTTATTTCACCTTTGACAGCAACAGGTCATTAGTGGAATTTGCAATCTTAATTTTGAGGATGAAGTAATTTCACTGAAAAATTCAAGATTATTGAGTGTTGGCTTAGTAGGTACTATAACAGTATTGTTTCCAGTGTGGTGTTTATATCGTTAATGACCTGTGTGGCATGTGTTTGGATAACCTTGCACGGGAAGAAAAGAGTGTTGTCGAAGTAACCTCGTAGTATTCACAGGGGTCATTAAGAATAAGTTCAATGACAAAGGAAGTTGATGGGGATGTAAATTAGATACGTTCAAACAAGGTGTTTTTTAAAAAAGCCGGTTAGACCACCGCCTATGAGACCTCTTACAGCCGTCTGTTCAGCACGGCCTCAGACTTCCTGAGGAGAAGGGGTCTTACAGGCACAGCCACCTACCATTGACAGGCGCGCACGGAACAAGTTATTGAAACCCCTGCGTGTAAACTTCCTCAAGTGCGAAAAAAGTGAATTACCGAGCCATGGTTGGTTTTAGTTTTGTCATCTGATTGGTTTAAAGGATGATGCAAGCTCTCTGGACCAATCACAGATCGAATTTCAGGAAAAATCAATGCGCTTCTGATTACTTTTCGGGAATTGCCCAAGTTGTTGTTAAGCAAGGTAGACAAAGAGATACGATCAGCACCCTCTGGTAACCTGGTCATCTGTTAAAAGGAACGTGAGCGGGTGGAAGGGGAGGCAGCAGTGAATAGCGAGCATTAATCTCCATCTGATAAATAAAGATTGCTATTCGTCACATGACTATGTTTTTAGTTCATTTACTATTTCCTGGAATTTTAGCCGACTCGAATTAGGCCTTGAGATTACATCTACTTCCTTGCTTTTAATTAACTTTGATATCCTTAAATAATTTGAACACTTGACTGATGCAATGCAAGGGGAAAGACTTGAACATTCTACGCGTTACCCTGTCCCAACTCTTCCTTGAACCGAGGTTCATTATTGTATTACTTTTGATCATGTCACTGGCTCTAGAATCCTCCTCAGCCATCGTTTCGACTTATCACGCAACGCGTTCTCTCTTTCGCCTTTTCCAGTAATGTGTTACGAGACGCGAGTAAACAACGGTTGTAAAGGTAGATATCTTGGTTTAGGTCACCTAACTGTTTGCTGTTGGAGGTGACTGAGTTTGCCCTTCGTTTCACAGGGAACGAGTAATGATCATCCCTCGCAGATCATGCCGAATAACGTTTCCTCAAGCTGTGCAAATAACATAGAAATAACAACCGTTTGAAGTGATCTCTTAGTGACAATATTTTCAATAACTGGGAGCGTGGTATAACGTCTGTTATTTAAGAAAAGTGTAACCATTTGGTTTTTTGTTTCATTATGAATTATTTTGCTTTAAAATTTTTTCATGGAAATGCTGTACCAAGGCACTCTTACTCTGCCTTCTTGCCTTGCCCTGTCTGAATGCTCTACACTAAATGATCCTTTCACTCCCAGAAATAGGGTACAGTTAAATTCTCCCTACAAGCAAGCTGGTGGGTTATACCTCAGGATAAAGCGCATTTCGATTGAGTGTCGTAAAGCACAAAACTATAGTAACTACACCACCAACCAGAGGAAAGGAAAATACCTCCAGGAGCCAATGAGAATGCATGGTAAAAACAAGCAAACTTTTAAAGCGCGGGAAAACGTGAGAGACCAAGTCGCGATTGGTTTTAGTTTTGATGGTGATTGGCTGAAAGGATGACGAAGCGAAGTAAAGCAAAACAACCCTGGGTTACTTAAGAAAATTCAGAATACCATAAATGGGAGAATTGCGTCTCAAATCGTGGAAGTGTCAAGCCGAATTAGTGCAAACGTGGCGCGCTGTTTCCTTCACAGCTTTCCTAACTTCCGTAATCCTCCAGCAGTAAAGAACGGGATTGAGTGAGGAGTTGAGGTAAACCAAAACCGAGGTTATAGCTTCAACAACAATGAGAGACGTGCTTAGGCCACGCACGGCAATAACTGCGGTTGTCAGAGCAAATGGAAGATAGCAAGTGGCTAAACTTGTATGAACCCACAGTGCATTGTAAACGGTTCGTTTGTACCGTGCTATGTTTAGTCCGGTATTAGGGCATTCCAAAGCGTCTTGCACGTGTGTTTGTTGACGTCGAATGTTGTGGAAGATTCTTATGTAACAATATGTTGAAATCGCAACAAATAACAGTACTGACGCAGTGCTCACCATGAAATATATATACGCACTCCAGATGTAGACAATTCCGACAGAGGTGCTTAAAAACCAGAACATGATAACAAGGGCACGAATTCGCATGACAGTTACAACTAATCTGTATTGTAAGCCCAATAATATCGCGAGAAGTCGATCCACGCTAATAGTGGTCAATGTAGCCAAAGAAATTCCAGAGAAAATGGTGGTCGTAGTGTAAACAATAACTTTGCTGATTCGACAAAGCTCTGAGTTTCCTCTAAGAAACGAGTAGTACATAGTGACAATAGCTGGCTGTGAAATGACGCCGACGCAGAGATCAGTGATTGCCAGAGAACGGAGAAGTAATTTTGTAGGCGGATGAAGAGAAGAGTTCTTGCATAGAGCGGCCAATATCAGCCCATTTCCAAGGGTAGCCGTTATTGTTAACAAAATGAAAAAAGAGACGACAGCTTGGTAAAAGACGAAAAGATTAGAGTTTTCTTGGTCGTTGACTCTACTGACCCAATATCGGCTACAAAACAAATCTTCACCTGCCATCACAACTGCGAGGAAGTCGCGTTCAAGATATAAACGAGCCTGAGGTGAATTGAATAAACTGAAAAAACTGCGTTTTATTGCGTTAGTCTCTTGCCGAATTAATGAAAGTCTAGATCTGTAATTGCTTTTTCCGGTCCCGAAACAGCTGAGTTAATGTGTTTTGTTTAACATTAATGATGATGTTTTTTAAGTAAAAAGTGTTTGCCATTCTTTTCTCTTTTCATCAAGAGAAGACGTAGAAAACTTAACAGCTTGACTGTCAGTTTACAAACTAAAACTAATTTTAAAATATTCTCCTAAAAGATTGTGTCAAATTTGTTTTTTTTAATATGGTATTTCCTTATTAAGTGTCAGATTAACGCAGAACTGAATAAATAAATTGAAATTAATAAATGCTGTCATTCGGTGATGTCTTTCTTACATTCGATATGAAATAATTTAAACTGTGTTAAAGAAAAAATCCGTAAACTCGCGGCAAATTAGTGATGTAAATTCAACCATCTCTCTCTCTCTTTCTTTCTGGATTATTCACAATTCAGATGTTTTAAAAGGAGGTGGAAACACGACCGTGAAAACCTTCTTATTACAACTAATACTTGGAAATGATATGAAATTGTCGGTGACGTATACTATTGAATTCTACGACATACTGTACTACTATGAATTCTCGGCCATAATATCAAACAAGCGCCCCTATCGAATAAACACCCTTCCCTCTTTCCTCACTTTCTTAAATAATAGGGATACAAAGAAAACCTATGTCTATCGCCGCTTTATTTTATAACTTTTTAAGTTTAGACAGCTGTGGAATTAGTACAGGAGAATAGTTCTGTTTCTTCAGTAGGAATAAGCGCCCCTTTCGATTAAGCGCTCTCTTCCAATCTGCCCCCTCCTTTGGGCATGATTTTAAATTAAGGCCCGGGCACTTATTCTAGGAAATTCGGCATCTCTGTAATGGATACGATAAGTTATAATTGGAATCTTTTCGTGGTTTAAATCGTAAAGTAACAGTAAAAGTGTACGACTAACTTCGTCACAGATTGTTTCACTTCCTTAACCATCCAACAGAAAAAGACAGGGTTAAGTGTACTTGAAGTTGTTGTCACTCATTTATGTGACATAAATGAGTGACTTCCAGGGAACGAAGGAGTAGTTTGGAGGGCAGATAAATCGATATGTCCTTGAGAACAGCTGCTAAGATCAAACTGTTTCTTACGGCAGCTGATGTTGTTAGCAAGATAGAAAAAATAATAAGTGTAAAATTTTTTGCTCTTCTTGGTAAATTATGCTAAAAAAAATTTTCTCACAGAGGTATTTAACGCTGATGGATGGCATTTCAGATTTCAAATAAATTTTGGAATTCAAAATTTGGCCATCTCAGTGTTCAGCAAATTACTCGCACAGACTACGTATCGTAAACCAAAAGCATATGATTTATGAACTAAAAGTTTTTAACGTCGAGTCATTATGTATCCTTTCAATGCCTCAAATCAGATCGATGTTAGTGAATGGAGAATCACATCTTAAAACCAATAAATTCTTTAAAATATTTCAGTTCACATCGACGCAGTACACCTCCCTTAAATTATTCGATTTCTTTCAGGCGTTGAGGATTGTTGATTGAAAGCACCCATTACATGTTTTATTGCGTAGTCCAAGTCAGATGAAGTGTACAGTTTAAAGCCAATCAGGTAAAACCACACGCATCAAAATTTCCGGTTTGCTGAAAAATATAATTGCTTTTTAAGTTTTGTGAAAAAAAGTCGTTTTTTAATGTTGATAACAAAGGAGAGAAATTTAAACAAAAATTTTATTGAAGTCTTTTAGCTCGGAACATGAGACATACTCCTGCGTATAAAGTAATCGTTGATAAAACAAAGGAACTCGCAGGAAAGCTTTTCTTTTAAACCGTATGCGTTCAGTTCTAAAAAAAAATCTTTATCGACATTCAACACCCCGTTGGTATATATTGCATTGGCCTGGAGAAATTCTAATGCTCTTTTTCGTCTAGAGCTGTCACTATTGACTTAGAAATACCTGCCCACCATCTACCGAATTACATGTGAGATCCTAAAGAAGAGTTAGAGATGATGTCTCTCTATTGTCACAGCCTCACGCCCTCTCCCACCGGAATATTTCACCACGCCAACCTTGATCCAAGTAAAATCATCTTGATACTAATTCGTATAATCAACAACAAAGGAAGTCATGTGGCCCAACAAACTAAATTATTCAATCCAGAAAAAGCGGCGCCGACCTTGTTTCCCCAAACTAATTAACCCTTTACACCCTAACATCAATATGCACATTCTCCATACCGTTTAGCCCAGTTCTCTATATGTTCCTGAGGTGCTGACAAGGAGAATTTGTTTAACAATCAAGAACTTCTTCAGTCGTTGATCATTTCCTTTATTTTTCATGACCTTAATGTTTGATTCAAGGGTGATATTGCACGAAGAAATTAGATGCTACTCACTCTCAGGGGTCGAAAGGTCACAAGATGAACAAAGTAAAGAAAAAGCAAACTGAAGCAGGTGATCTCTTTAATACTGTTCTCCAAACTCCTTAGCAGTTTTTGATTACACAGCCTGTGAAACTATATTCTGGCCAATAACAAAGTTGTTGAGAACTGAAGTGTTGACTAAAGACTACTCATTGTTGACAATGGATCATTCGTCGAGTTTTACTTTATTTTCTACAAAAAGAACCAAATCACAAGCTCAAGTTCCGTTACATGCATGGACTTTACAATGGAGATGATTCCATGTTTTGTTTGTGGATCTTTGTTAAAATCCTCCCTCAATGAGATAACAAATGGTAGAGCGTTTATTGAGCAGACGATAAAAGTGAAGGCTGCACTTGAATGCTGTTTATTCTCAGAACTGTTAGATCTTGAAAGTGTTCTAGGAAAAAAGAGAACAAAATAATATCACTGATGGCTTGAATACCCAGAGATTACATTAAACCGTGGTATAACCCCCCAACCCTCCCCTCCAGAGAAAAAAATGCTCGTGAGCCACAAGCGAACATGTTACTAATGTTCTCATTACATTTAAGACGTTTTCTGCGTTTTCTAATTGAACTGAACACCGGCATAAAGGAACAGAACATAAAACAGACACAAAACAAAGATGAACAATGGTGTCAACCATACGCCTGTCTTCTCAACTAATACATTGTAAACATACTTGCAGGAAAAAAAAAACTGATATGCGGGTAAATTCAGCACATATAAAATTGTCACTGGGTATGTGAAATTTACCTTTCCATCTCCTATAACCCTTTCTCCGTTTCATTTTAAACACTATCTTCTTAGGGCCCTTTGTTTTTTCCAAGACTGTTGCTTCAATCTTCACAAGGTCTCGTCTATGGAAGAAAACGTAAGAGCTACTGTTACCAGGCTGGGTGAGAAAAGCCATCTATTAGCTTCGCAGCTCGATAAATACTAGTCACTTCAGAAGTAATATTCATACACATTCAACAGTATGAGTGGGCGAGGAGACTTTCGAGAAACTACCCGGCTTATAACGCTATTCACCTCCACTTCAGTGAATAGTTGTTGAATAACCAAATAACAGAGAATGAAAGTGCATAAGCAGTTGACCACTTAGATTCGTTTTTTTCTTGATTTAAAAGTGTGTTTTAACTTTTATGAAAGTCTATCAGTCTTGAACAACCCACAAACAGTGAACGGTAAAAATTACAACTCCCTAAAAGTACTCATCTTCTAAAGAGAGTAACAAGAGTCGTTACTTTCAGAACTTTATGTCGTTGCAGTACATGTTTGTGTTTAAAGTAAGAACGAAGTACTTACGCCAGCAATGGGGTTCCTATTACGGTAAAATTTTCTCCACCCACTAATAAAACCTGAAATATTAGAAAACTTAAATATTGTAAATAAGGATCAAGTTCAGACCATTAGCTCAAATTTAATTAATTCTCAACCTAATCCACTTCCTCATGTTTATAATTAGATTGTTACTAGATGACTCTGAAAATCTTCATTCTTTCTTCAAAAATGGCATTCTGTCTAATCACTGTATGTGACTAAACCTGGGATTCCAGCTGGCACATCAGTCCGGCCGACTGGCTGGTAACTTGACTTCACCTTTGAACACTTTTATCACAAGGAAGTCAGGGGAGAGAAGAAACATGAAAGTCCATTGTGAAGACCTGCCACTGTTCTCTGTCCATTTAATCTCCACTGCTTCTAGTGGTTTACACCTCTTTGTGACTTAAATGTTGAACTTTTCTAAGGGCATGCTCCTACAGCAGAATCCATAAACAATTCAATATCCCCCAAAAAGGTGCAGTCAGTTAAGTAAAGAAGTGGTTCTGGCAAAGTCAAGCCCCTGGATGGGGACAAGATGGCAAGGCAATGTTGTTTAGATTGAAGATCATCCCCCCCATCCCCAGTTTTTGTCTAATCCTCTACCTCCCTTGGGGGGCGAGCGTGGCCTAGTGGTTAGGGCGCTGCACTTGCAAGCCGGAGGTCCCAGGTTCAAGTCCTCCTCCCTGCCACTGGATGGATTTGTCTTCGGTGGCCCCGAATTCAACTCCTGCACGCTTTGTAAATAGCCAACTGGTCTGCCTCCTACCAGTTGGGGTTTTTAACAAGTTTCTGTTTATTTACGATATTTGTTTCCTTATTTACAGTGTCCCCAATTAGCACAGCAGTGCTAAATACATTGACACTTAAATAAAGTTATTATTATTATTATTATTATTATTATCCCTGTCTGTGAACAGAACTCTTAGGCCTTTGTGAAGCAAGTGTCTATTGGGAATAGACTACTGTTGCAAAATGTGAAAAAAATGTCCTTTACTTTTTTTAGTTGCCCTCTTTTGTTCTGATGTCCCAGACTTGCCAGCCACTATGCTCAGGTCATCCATTTCATCTACCCCCTCCCCCCAACATAACATCAAATCAAACTTGCCTTTTCAATACGTATTCTATCTCCAGTTTCTGCATCAATTCTGTTGATAATTATAGTGTCATTCACAGTGATCTTAAATTGGCTCCCCCCTGATAAGAGAGAAGGCACATCACATTAAATACAAAGAAACTGTTAACCTTTTAACTCCCAAGATCTCATTAGTAATTCTCCTTGCTGTCTGCAAAATGTTTCTCATTATTTTAGTTTGGAGAATTTAGTATCAGATCAATTAGTAATCCCATAATTGAGAATTTTCTTCATTCTCATCACTTGTCTGCATGATATTGTATAGATAAAGTAAGGAAAAATTATGTCTTGGTCTCTCATGGGAGTTGAAGGGTTAAGATGATCAATCTCCAGAAGTAAACACAAAAGATGATTACTCATCTTGACAAAGCAAACAAAATCTTAAGTTATTCCCATAGTGAGCTCAAAATGTACCATATTCCTCAATCTGTTTGTTCTCTAGAAGAGTTACACAAATGTTCATGCATTACATGTAGCACTAAATACTACATGGCCAACTCTACATACTGACCTAAATGAACCACAGCAAATATCTGACCACTTGATTCACCCTTTAACATTTCATCTTGCACATTTTTCATGACATCTACAATTAAAATTATAATATTTATATGAGCAAGAAGCCTTAATTTAAGTCTTCTTTTGGGCAAATGATATGAATAGGTGCATTACAACAATACAGACTGCTTCAAAAAATGAACCATACTGCTCCACAGCACCTCCAGCTTTCTAATAAAGAATACAAGCTTGGGAAAAGAATGAAAATTGACATTAAAATAGGATATTACATCACTGCAAGCTGTGACCATTTCAGTTGCTATATTGGGTTGGGAAGAATTTTAGCAACTAGATTGGCAATTTAAGTTCCAATTGAACAACCTCTGTTCACTGTTCATGAAACAGTTAGTTATTAAGTTTTAATCACACAGTATTCATGGTCTTGTGCATATAGTAAGTGAGGATATCCATTTCACATGATATGACGCAGTTTTGTATATTTATTTATTTGTCTTTTTATTCACCTGTATATTTATTTTTGATTTTTTCTGGAATGCATTTCACAATTTTAGTTTGCTAAATGGCATCACTCAAGGAGGTTGAGTTGGAGCCCAGAATTAATGAAAAGTTCTGTCACTATTCAATATAGGTTCAATAAGACATGTACCTGATGAATACGGTGGACAATTTTGTTCATCCTCATCTTCTCCACTAGCTTCTGTCAGAGAACTTGATCCTGTACTAAGACTACGGATATCAACATTTCCAAGCAGACTAACAGGGTTTGTTGCTGAAAACTGAGATACTGCTGCAGCAGATTTTGTAAACATTGTGAGGCTGTTGGGATGAATACAATAACAGACTGAGAATGAACATGGGACAAAGAATAAACACAAGTGTGGGACATGATCTGATTTGTTAGTGAAAATTTGGTCTCTATGAAAGTTCACAGATGATGACACTGTCCAAACAAATCCTATCCCTCCAGGTAAGATTGCAAATGCCATTGTTATGTAAATTGTTTCCTTTCTTTCCACCCTACCAAGAGAGAAATAATTGCAAAAAACTTGCACTTTGCTGGGAAACTGTGCTACATATGGTTGGGGGTTTCTTCGGAAGTCAGACTCATTTTAAGATTTTACAAGGTACACATGACCTACAATTTAACATCCTAAGGAAAGTACACAGGTGATGAAATACAGACTATGAGCTTGTTAATGCATTGAAAACAAATAGTTATTGCATTTTATAAGACCATAGGGATTTCAGGAACAGTTTTAACAAGCTATATTTTTCACTCCTGAGTCTCAAAATTCAAAATGAACTCAGAAATGAACCAGTCACCAAGAGAGTTCTCCACAGAGGGACTGAAATCTCATTATAAAAAGAAAAAAATTTAGTACCTATTTTTGACAAGGTTATTACTTGCAAGCACATTGCTATTGGCACCTTGATACTTGTGGTTTTTCACAGCAACACATAACCCTGGAAATACAAATATATATCAGAACATTAGAATTTACATTGTTGATTTACCAGAGGAAGCACTCTTGATAATTCATATGCTGAAGAAATGAAATGGGCATATCAAAATTCAACATCTAGCACCTGACAAGTGGCAGTTATTGAGGAATATTTTACCCACAATTTGTGGACAGTCCCATACTTTGTTGTGCTCCCAGTTCTTGGACAAAGAAAACAAAGGACAAAAAACATTATATTGCCTTTGGCACTACAGCTTTGTTTTAGATTGGATGGGGCTAAGGAAAGATCTTTCCATATTTTGCTGCATAAAAGTTAGAGACTGTGAGAGTGAGTCTTACAACTCGAAAATCAAGTGAAACTTAAGGTGGTACTGCATGCTAATTTGATGAATTTTTGACAATCTTGGGAATAAAATATCTCATAACAGATTTGTTGCAATGACTTGAATGATTGTATGCATAATATGTGACCAAAATTATTTTGCCAGGTGTCAAGGAACTTGTGGAATTTCATGGAATTAAGAAGTGTGTTGAAAAGGCCATTTTGGATAATTACTTCTCTAAGCTGAGACAATTAAATGTTACCCAAGATGGTTTGGCACATGCTTGAAGATAATGGGAATAGAGATTTTGAGCACAGTCCATCAAATTATATTACATTTTGACAATTTTGTCCTCAATAAAATGAACAAAAATTAAGGTTGTGATCCAATATCTTCTCATTTGGCTAATTCATGGCAGACTGTAGCAGCCTGCACTGTGAATTTTTGTCATTGCAGGTAGCTTTGGTTTGCCACGTTTTCTATCAAAATAAAAAATTTTCCCTGAGATAATGTCATTGCAGCAGCATGACACGTTGTAGCTGCACTAATTACTTTGGGAAAAGCAGCAATATCTTTGACAGAATTTGTCAGAGAACCCATATTTACTTTCCTTCCTTTTGAAAGCCATCTTGAATAATCCAGTGATATTTCGCTGCAGCAGTAAAATACAAAATAGTGCAATATAGATGGTCATAATTGCTATATTTGTCTGTTATTTTTCCCAAAAAACCAATCAGAATATGAGACTAAAAACATTCACACCATCTGTAGCAATGACACCTTTCCTGGGGTGTTAAGACAATCTTGGACATTAGTGGGAGATGAAAAAGGGACACGAAAGTAGAGTTTTCAGTAAATGTTCTACACCTTCTCTTACTTACTCACTTGGTTAGGAAGTGAAAAGAAGGAAAGTGCATCATCAGGAACCACAAAATTAAGACGTGAAAGTCAAAGATTTCAATTGATCAAACATGGTGTGACAAAATATAGCATCTTATTATTTGCTTGCTTATGGTTGCCACCAGGATCATTTCTCTATTTTCCAGGAGATTCGTCCTCTGAAACAAAACTTCTATCACACATATTTCAAAATGTTTTCCAATTGTTAAACTACAATCTTTCATATGTGAGAAAATAAAGAATTCCAAAAAGGTCAAGATAGCCTCAGGTACCACCTCAAGTTGATAAAGATTTCTACGATTACATAACTAGGCTATATATTAACTCTGCACACAGAAACAATATCCAACTTTTTGACCTTTCTCATATATAAATGCCATTACTCACGTTGCTGAACCATCAAATTCAAAACCCAAGTCAAAGATCTTTACTGTTAGAGCCCACAGTAAATGCACTCTAGTATTTTTTATCCAATAGACTTGCAAAAAATTAGTGTAATTGTAGAAACACGCCGCTTCCTTCGCGTGTTCGCGTTGTTTGAAGAACAAAGCATAAAACCGCCTTGGCAACTTTAGAAAAAGCTGACTTTTCGAGCGTTAACCCTTTGATATATACGAATCATCAGCCTTGAAAAATTTTCCAAGGAGTTCATGTTACCCTTAAAAACTCAATGACGCATCGCAAGCTAAAATTGATAACTATATTCCAGGAGCAATTCTATAACAACCCGTTCAGGTTCGTATGTTGCGAAAGTTGGAGATATTCACTCGTCGGTAAGCCTTATATACACCGTAATAATAATTTTAAAAAAAACACAGAAATGAAACCAGTTGTGTAATCTCACCAGCTACTGAATTATTCCTCAGGTTTCGAGTCAAAGATGATCGTAATAAATTTGCACATCTGACAACGTTTTTGGCCGCCATCTTGAGTCTCACAACATCCGCTGGTCAAGAAAGTGCAGTCTCCCTTCAAAACTGTGCCCCAGTTTACCCCAATCAAACCCAGTCACATCAACGTTAGGGTAGCTTCATGTTTACCTATTTTCAGGTTTAATTGAAGGAAGCATGAAAAAAGTGCTGAGAGTTGCCACAATCATGATCACACGAACAGACCTTGAAGGACTCTTATGATCAAAATAAGAATGAACAAATAATTTAATCTATAGCAAAGAGGAATTAGAAGAAAAAGGCAGTTTGTTTCAGAAAAAAAAGGGAAAAAAGGGAAAAAAAAAGGATAGGAAAATCGAACCCGGCTAATTGTAAAAGTACTCTATACGGTCAGTTAATAAATTGTTTATGAAACCCATACAAAATAATTCACGAGTGATAGTCTGCAAATACAGCCATCTCTTATCTTGTGTCAAGATCGAGTCATGGGGTGCATTTATAGACAGGCTACCACAGAAAGTGTCATTTTCCCGCTAGTGATTACGTTTAATAATTTACTTCTCTCAACGCTGGCCGCTTTCGAAGAGGTGTCGTCGTTGCGTGACATTTCTCATCACAGGAGTCTGTGAGCACGTGTACTCTGGAAATAGCGCATTGCGTAAACAGTAATACGATACACATTTATTTGGCATCTCTAAGACCTTCGCGACGCAAGCGAAGTTTCTTTTTAATCATCGTATTTGGCCTGACTAGATCAGACGCTTTCTCTCTAAGTTTGATTGTCTCATTACGAAGGTGCTGATTTTATAGAGAACATGCAGTGGATCTTTCAGACCATCATCGTGTCCTGTTTTGTGATATTTTGTGAGGGAGAATTTATTCCTTTTAAACATTTGGGACTTCATCATACTGATCCGGATGTCATGAGAAATGTGGTGAGTGAAATCAATCTTTTCCTACGTGTGACGGAGCAAACAAAAAACTTTCCTCGAGATGCCACGCGATATCGATTGCGCGTTGCCTCCGATAGGGAAATAGAGGCAAAAAATCTAGTGACAATCGTATTTGTGTTAGGGATCTAAATGGACATCAACGACATCAACTTGCTGCAACATATCACGAGCAATTACAAATGTTATTGCACCCGACCTTTATATTTTTAAACGGTCTTTATTGATTTGTGTGTTCTTTACTTAACATGGCTCGACGAATGTAATTAGATCGTTTGTTTCCACGCGTTACTTGGGATAATACAAGCATGGTACCTTACAAGGCGATCGATAATATTTGCAAAGCGCGTTCATTGTAGTGCATGTATTGGGTAATCTGTCACATGCTGGCGATATGAAATAGGCACGTGACATCCTACTGAAGTATCGCCCACGAGGAAGTGAACACGAGTTATGAGTGCGGATTGCCACCAAGGGCCTGGTTTCATAGAGGTGGGGGACCTCAGGTAGGTGAGGTAACCCGACTAGGTGAGGTAACCTGCCTGTCCATATGATCTCTTATTTTATTTTGATCACGTTTGCATGATAGGTGGGGTTACCCGCCTAGGTGGGTTACCCGGTCTGCTGGGTGGGGTTACCTTGTCAGCTGGGGTGACAATTTGTCATGTAAACGTCTCAAGGTGGGGTAGCCTACCTAGCCGGAGTCGCGTTCATGTAACCAAAGAATCAAATAAGCCAAACACGAGTGTTTCGAAACTTACTTAAAAGTTTACTTCTATTTGTTTAAAACAAACATAACTAAAACTGTAAAACACCAATTTTAACCTCGACATCAATTCATGATTACTCACGTTTTTACCTTGAACCCAACACTACATTAACATGTTATGCCGAGGTGAGGACGTCGTACTGTTAGAAACAGTGAACGCTTCGAGCTATTGGCGAAAATCTTAGAGGAAAATAAGTTGCGTTTATTCGGCAACGTTTTACCACACGTCGCCGTAGTGACATTTTAACTCCTGCGAGCGCGACAACAACCCCGAGAATCTTCACCTCGGCATCCCGGGGTTGTAAGATTGTAAGTAAATATTTTTTCACCATGGCTAGGTGTGTTACCTTACCTACCTGGGGTCCCCCACCTCCATGTAAATAAGCCCTTAGTATAGAGTGATGTATTGAACTATGATCGAATGAATCCACTTAAGAAATGCTATTTTCATCAGTATTTTAAATAAGAAAAAAAACAAAAAAAAGAAGACTTAAAATACGCACAGCAATGGTTAAATTATACGATTAGAGGTGAATAAAACCTACTTTTCCAGAAATTGTGCGGTTCATAAGACTTACAATGATGCTCAGTGGTCATCTTGTGATGTGTATGATTTGAAACCGATACCTGACTTTCCGTGACAGCGAGAAAAACAACTGATTTACGTTGTTTAGATAAAGAAGTGGCAAGCAGTTTTTTAATCAAGCAAAGTTGCTCTGTACGAAGTACAAAGAGCTCTTAGAGCACACTAGCTTGACGTGCGTGTCCATGCTACACGCAGGTTGTATATCAAAGTTAAACGATTTTACTTCAGAAAGTAATGATGAAATTCAGACAAACCATAGTTTTCACTGAATTTAGTCTCTTTCTGAGATAGCATTCTTCCTTTGTGTGTCAAAACACTGTATTTTGTATGTATGCTCCTGCTGTCAGTTTGTTTTTTCGGATTTTTAACACCACTTAAAACAACAATCGACCTTCGACCGGCTAAGATCACGCTTGCTGACATAAAAACTGCCAAGGAAGAACAAAAATTCAGGTGTACATATCTACATAAGATAAAACTAAGTCGAACGTCGTCCACGAGGAAGGATTGAATTATCTACTTAGTTGAATTTTTTCCCTCTAGACTCAAATAATTGCCAGCAGAGGATACCCCGTCGAAGAGCATCACGTGACGACAGAAGATGGCTTTATTCTTGCCTTGCAAAGGATTCCTCGCGGAAGGAACGAAAAGGAAAGTTCTTCTCGTAAAGAGGTAGTATTCTTACAGCATGGCCTTCTTGCAGACGCGACGAACTGGATCATAGATACTCCAACCAGAAGCTTAGGCTACATGCTCGCGGACAGCGGCTACGACGTGTGGCTTGGAAACATCCGGGGAAATGATTATTCAAGGCGTCACGTGAAGTACTCTCCACATCAATCAAAATTCTGGAATTGGAGGCGAGTTTGTGATCTTGTTTTGAAGATAGGTTTCAAAAATACCCACTTGAATTCCTGTTGGTGTCTTAGCGCGAGCGCATTAGTTACTTGAATAACCATTTTCGCGGGCGGGGTGATAGCTTTTTCGGCTAAAGGTTAAAATTTTGGCCGATTTACAGCTTACAGTTGATATCTTTCCATTGCTGTCACCAGAAATTTTTATTACGGTTATCCTTTTTTACGACTAACAGTTAAAATTTGTCAATTTTTACGCCCAGCAGCCAAATTTTTTTGGCCGTTTGACGGCTAACGGTTAGCCCCATTGGAACCCTCAATATGTACTCTTTTAGTAAGGTGGGTATTTCTTCAAAGAACTTAAAACCATGACTTGTAAAGCATTTTCAGTGTTTCAAATTACTTTTGATATATTCTCTGACATTAAGTGAAGTCACTGAGATCTGACAGTTATGATACCCTTTGTTTAAAAACCTACTGAAAGTGAAAGTTTACTTGATTTCCTCGTGAGCGAAAACCTTGTTAGTCATTTCATGGTGATATGATACTTTGTGAGCTGTTTTAACTTATCTGCAAGAGAATATCAACAGTTGATATTCTCTAATTCATTGGTCATTTTGCGTTGTTACTTGTGTTGACTACATACATTGCGCCCGACCTTGTTCCTAGTTCCTTCTCACCCACCAGCGCGAAAGGACCTCAGTAAGGATGGCAAAAAGAGTGACCTTGGGTACGAGTTCGGTTTGCACGCTGCATGTGCATGCATGAAAACTTCGTGCAGTAGGTGTGTCATAGGTTGTCAATCAATGAATCGTTTTTGGGATAAACCCTCTTTAGATCGGTGCGCGTTAGTAAGGAAAATCGTTGCGAGACAACTAGAAGTAGGAAGGAGTTGGAAAAGGAACCCTCTTCGACTAAATATTGCACGAGTTTTTACCAGTGCCTTTCTTGACCCTCTAAGTCACTGTTAATGTCTTGAAAATTCTTTACTTTTCATGCCTATTACCTCCTTTGGGTGTGTTTCACTCCGGATTTTTAATTTCGCAGTTGGCAAGAAATGGCTAAGTACGATCTTCCCGCCATGATTAATTATGTACTGAAAGTCACGGGTGAAGAGCAGCTGTATTATGTCGGTCATTCGCAAGGGACACTGATTGGTTTCACAGGATTCTCTGAAAATCCAGCTCTGGGAGAAAAAATCAAGATATTCTTCGCTTTAGCACCTGTCTATACTTTGAATCATTGTACAGACATTGCAAAAGGCGCAGCAAAGCTCATATATCCACTTGTTAAGGTAAGGAGAAAACCTTAAGATTTATCATATTTGACGAAGAGGACAGGAGATATCTATTACACATATTAAGTATGCACCTCGCACTGCGCGAAACAAATTTGGGTAAGGGTTCCGAAAACCGGACCCCAAGCTCTCATCAGAATGATCTTCACGGTGGAAGCTCTGAGGTGAAAGTTTCTTTTTCATAATGGCAAGGATTCTGGGATCAATGTCAGCATCTGAGAAACTGCGGATCTACCCTCCCCCCCCCCCCCTCCCTCCCCTAGACCAACATTAACGCTGACTTGTTACCAGTTGACTGTTTCAGGGCGGGGGGAAGGGTAGGTGCGCAGTTTCTCAGATGCTGGAGATGATGGCGTATCGTCTCTCTGTTATTCGGCACGACGAAATTTACTGCTCTAGGATCCCAAATCTCATTTTGGAAAAAAGAAGTGAGTTAGACAGATTTGCTTTTCCCCTTCTCTTTAGAAATTGTTTCCTGGTATGACCTTTGATCTTCTTCCCGGAAACTTCTTGAGAGCTCTGGTCAATCTGGGTTTCTGCGCAAATCCTATCTCTGAGCGAGTTTGCTATGATTTCATGGAGTTGACGATTG